AGTTTTACACCCACAACACGCGTCCCTTCACGGCATAGGCGTGTTCAGACTTTGGTAGCCGAGGGGGGCACACCAAATTTTTAAATTGTAAGACCTATTTTTTTTTAGACATGAAGAAACATTAATTTTTCATGTTATAAAATTCACAATGGTAGGAATATTTTTTAATTATGATAAAACAATAAAAATATATTTAAAACTAAATTAAAAACAGATACATAATACATTTTTGATATAATTTATTGAAATAAAGTGCTTATAAATCCATTCGTCTATACTCTATTATATGGTTTTAATACTTTAAAAGTCTCAATGACATCATCAAAGTTAATATTACGAATAAAACGTAATTATTTCGAATAATACGAATATTTTAAAGGCTTTAAATACATTTGAAAATAAATCCTCTCTACCATGAACTGTAATAAGCCACTTAATCCATTCACCACAGGTTTTTCCTTTTGGATTTGGATCACTTTGTTTAAAATTTTATATCTGTGATCACAAATTAATAAATGCGTAACTAAAAAAATTACAATCAAAATCTATGGGTATTAGGTACACACCACACGAATTTTTTTTAACCTGACATGATTTTATTGGAGGCACAGTCGGCCGGGGGGGCCAGTGCCCACCCGGCCCCTCCCGTAAACACGCCTATGCTTCACGGTACAAAGCCGTTCGTCACTATTGCCTATTTGTCTGTGATGTTATGCACTCCAACTAGGATTCTCAGAGATTAATGATTTTAGAAATTAGCTGGGTAGATCATAGACACAACTAAGGAATTTTTTTTTTGGGGTGGGGGCTAGAATTATATCAGCAGCATAGATCCTAATAGTTGATATTTTAAATTAAAATATGATTAAAAACTTGTGGTGGGGCTATTGCAGGCGCGGATCAAATCAGAGGCGGTAGCGGCGACTCCCCTTCCCCCCGTTGAACGTATTATTTAAATTTAATATTTTGTGTTATCCTATGTAAATGTATTGTAATATTATTCAGTCACAAATCATCGTATTTTATTTTAATAACACACATTTATAAATTGTCGATAACAATATTATGACCGATTGAATTTTTAAAAGGTATTTGATAATATAAAGGAAATTTTAAATTGTAAATAATTCAATAAAGTCATTCAATTCAGCTTAAGAAAAAAAATATTCATTATAATTAATAAGCAATTATTGCATATTTATAATATATATATAAATATACTCGTATTTACCAGTAGATAAATAGTAAATATATTTAGATATTTATAAATTTATAATCCACCCCTTCCGTTAATGTAGACTGGATCCAAGCCTGGGAATGCCCCCCCCCTAATTGCGCATATGATAAGTATTCATTATTGGAAGATTACAACAATTTACGATATATTGTTGATGCATTCATACAAAACACAGAAATTCGATTCAAGACATAGCCATACACTAAATTATAAAGTTCTATAATCTAAATACAATAGGTACATAATATTATTGCATATATTTTGGGAATTTAAGAGGACGTCACATCCGCATGTATTGTCTTCGTCTTACAAATGTACAACATAGCAAAAAAAAAACTGTTCTGGACAACTTTTCTACCAAATTTTCACAACATGTAATGAAGAACTTTATCTGTGCAACAGCGTGCTATTGCGTGCTTCTTTTAAATAGCACTATCCAATCATTTTTTATAAGCAAATGAAAAAAAAAACAAAAAATGAAATAACTTTTATTGTATTTATGTTATCTAAAATATAGGCACTCTGTTGCATAGATAATTTTCTACCCTATACCTAGATATTTTCAGAAATTTTGGAGCCATTACTACAAACATAAAAAGATAAAAGTTGTCTTGTGCAAAACAGTTTTTGCTATGTTGTACATTTGTAAGACGGAGACAACACATGTGGGTGTGACGTCCTCTTAATGCATATTATATAAATGCATGCAATAAATGTTATTTTTTTTTTTTACCATTTTTTATTGCGTAGGAAAATGTGATTGATTTAGTATTTTATCAAAATATACCAAAATGATATTTTACTGTTTTAATAGGTATACGTTTTATTTTTCATAATCAACAATAATATAAATATGAGTACATCTGAAAATTTAAGCCTATCATTTTATGGGATATTTCAATTCATATACATAACTGAGCATTTATTTTGCATACTTTGACGTTTTTGGTAAATATTTATGTGGTTTTTTGTTAAAAAGGTGGACAAGTGGATAACGCTCTGCTATACAGTAGTTGTCAAGGTCCAAGGATGTCGTTGTAATGGATGTGTTACCTATATTTCAATTCGATGTTAATAGTTAAAAATAAAATTAATAAAAATCGAAAATATCTCATAGCTATAAATAGAGTGACTTTCCGGCAAACTTTTCCTATTTGATAGAAGTAGAAAAACTTGTTGGGAACCTTCTAAAAAAATGTAAAAAAAAAAACTTTTATGAATTTTTAACTGATAAATAGTTTATAAAATTTAAACATTTTCCATGGCTATAAATAAATTGTTTGAACACTTTACCATGTAGGTATATAAAATGGTAATTTTAACATTTGGAAAAAATGTCAAGTGTCTGTCTAAGTTATTCGTTTTTGAATTAGGTACAATAAAATATCAAAAAATTGATAGATGAAAATACGATAATTTACCGATGAAAATCCAAAAAGTAAAAATTTTAAATTCATAGGCTCATAAAAAATTAGGTACTTTCCGGTAAACTTTTGTTTTTGTTTAAAGAAGAAGAAGTTTTGGGGAATCTTCTATCAAAATTTCTTATGTTAGCTATAAAAGGAAAAACTTATATGAATTTCTTACTGAAAAGTTTTCGAAATTTTGATGAACATTTGAACTTTAAATGCATATAAAAAAAGGTGCTCTGCTGTACAGTAGGTTACAAGTGGGCCACTGTATAATGGATGGTATTAAATTTGAATTTAATGATATAATATCATGGTATAAGAAAAACGATTCTGAGCGGAGACGATATATGTCAGTCTAGGTATAAGATATATTATAGGTATACCTACTTATCTATGGTATTAAAAAAAATTGACCTATAATAAATTCCAAATTAACCATATCACAATATCCATTATAACGCGTTATACCTCAACAACAAACCCTGATAATATAATAGATATATAATAGTGTACTTTAGAAGTTTCAAGTACCTACTGACGAATAATATTGTACAATAAAAACAAAATAGTTGTTTTAGGTTTTTTATTGAACAATTTCGTCCAAATTTGAACTTAAAATGACTCTAAAAATAAACTGTGCTTATGTATTTTTTAGATTTTTAGTAACAGAATTAACTAATTACGTGGAATCTTGTTTTTAATTTTCAATCTTTAGATATAAAAGTTGAACATTTTGTAAATTCTTAAGTACAAAATAATTATTAAATTTTGTCAAAATTCCTAATAAAATTCCTATTAACCTAATAAAAAAAAATTGTGCCTATGTATTTTAAATATTTTTCAGCTGATATTGTAACAATATATCAGGGAGCTTGTATTAAATTTTTACACTTTTTGAACTAACATATAAAACTTTATTGATATTCATAGAAATAAAAAAAAAAATTGAAAACTGACAATGCCCGTAAACAGCTCAAAAAGCGTCAAAATATTTTCAATTTTTATGGTGTATAGAAAATGAAAATATAAACAACCAGTGAACATTTCATGTATATAAGTTCATTTGTTTTAGAGTTACGCCAAAAATCAAAATCAATTTTCTGGAAAGCCGATTTTGCCTAAAAATTCCCGGTTTTCCTTATTTTTTATGTTGTTTTTCTCGGCGTTTTTAAAAACTATTAGGAATTTTAAAATTTTACCTTCCGAATGCACCAACAATATTCACTTTCCCATTGAACAAGATACTGAAGTTGAAAATAGAAGCATTATTTCAACTACTTATGATGAGTACAAGACACAGACACAAAAAAAAAAAATAAAAAAAAACCACACACATCAGTGTAATATCAATAGGTACATTCATTGTTTCACTCAGAATCTAAAATTGTGCCTATATATCTTTAATATTTTTGAACTTAATTTATGAAACCTTGCATTCAATTATCAAGATTTTATACTAAGTAAAAAAGTTTTTATCGGGAATAATTTAAAATTTTTTTACAAATTTTGAAAAATTTCTCATGGCTCTAAATCTCTAATACTAATTCGGTCAAAATATTTCGAAAATGTTACCAACAAAATATGTTTACAGCATTTTCAATTTTGACCATTCAAAAGTACCAACTAGATTCACTTTTCTATCAGAAAAGACGCTGTTCTCGAAAATCGGAGTATTTTTACTACCCTAAATGTTGAAAAAAATGTCATTGTAAATATTATGATACATTCTTTCGTACCTCTTAGAATCTAAAACATAATTATTTACTAGAGTAAAAAATCACATAAGCATATAGAAAGGTTTTTTATTGTTAGTTGTTACCAATAAACGTTAGGTACCAATAAAGGTTACCAATAATTATTTTATTTTGTTGCTATAAATAAATTATAATGCACCATTAAATACATATTCAACTGGTCAGACTTCAAAAAAATTTTTTCTAGTCAAATTTAGAAAATATTACTACCAGCTGCGTCAAACTAATAGCTAGTGCATATTAATACTTAATGAATGCAGAGAATATCACAATACAATTGACTTAAGATTTGTAGATTTTTTACTTTTTGGTTTTTTGATAGAGACAATAAGTAAATACAATTTTCCTGGATTACTTCTATATTAATAGCTGTTGAAAGACAAATTGGGTGGAATAAAGGATTTCTTTCAATTTTACGTTGAAATAATAAAAACCAACTAGAATTTTACTAAATAAGTAATAACACATTAAGGTATTACCTTAATATAATACAGTTCTTTGTTAACTTTGAACAATAATTGATCAAATATTAAACAGAAATTTACTTAAACAGTAAGAATATTTTGTCACAAATAATCTAAATCTTATAATTACAGTTTACAACAACTGTGCACTGGAATTTGCTGCTATGTCTAATAATTTCCAAGCAGCTCTTGGATTTACTTCATTCACATCTCTGCACATTGCCCAAGTATACATCACTCTGATAACAGTATGAGGATCTCCTTCAATGATTAACCCATTCACATCTTTAATATACATGATTTGTTGGGCACTAAATGATATTATTAATACAGGACCGTGTTCCATTAATTTTCCAGTAACAACATCGACATTATGTACATCTAGTACTTTACAGTATGTTTGATGACCTTTTTGTCGATGCTCGGTAACAGGATGTGATAGTACTCTATAAGGAGCTTCAAAACACCAGTCTTTCAAAATAATAAGATCTTCCCGTGCTATAGCTTCTAGCACATTTGGTATGATATCAGTTTCACACTGACGAATAAAGTTTACTAAACTGAAATCAGGTTCAACACGACACAATTCTGTTACTACATCTGACATTTCAGCATTATGAAATACCGATGACAAAGTGTCAGTTACTGAACGTGTAGCTCGTGCTAAAATATGATCACTATCATCATAGCGTTCTTTGAGGTCTGATAATTTTTGCATAAATGCATTTTCAGATTTGAATTTTTTCCAACTTTCATATATCCTAAAACAAAAATAACCATTTCATGAATAATAATATTGAACTTTAAGGCTTAATAAATTTACTCTACATTTTAATTTACTATAATTTTTATCATAATGCATAGTGTCTAAAATATTATAATATATAACTAACTGTTTGGGTTATTAGTTTTATTCAATAGACTATTATAGAATTAAGACATTTATTTTTAATACCTAAATTCAATGAAATTTAGGTATAAAAAATATTTTTTAGAACCATAATAATATATAGGGCATAGGTATTTATTATATTATAATTTATAACACTTATTTATGTAATTCTATTTAACAAATTTCTCATTAATGAGAATAATTATTATTGACATTGAGACTTCATAATATAGAAGTTAATGTATAACTATAATGCGGCCCACGAGAGAGTATTACTGTCGCCTGATGAAAACACGTTCGATTCCGCGCATCGCCACGTATTTGACATACACTAAATGGCACAAAGTGGGAAATGCCTACAGTCTGCATGCTCAAAACTGTAAAGGTACGGTTTCCTAGGCACGGCTAGTCGCGACGGCTGGCCGCAACATACTGCTCACGGACGAGTACAGCCACCGGCCGCAGCGACTATAATGCTGTTCCATAGCAGAACAGTAGTTGCGGCCAGCCGTCACAACTAGTCGAGCCTAGGAGACCGTATCTTAATACTCTCTCGTAGACCGCAGTATAGTAACTATATTTAATATTTTCTTACATAAAATAGAAAAATATATTTATATACAAATTTACTTTTATGATTTCATAACTAAGTCTATATAGACTTAATCAATTTTCATTAAAAAATAAATAAATACTTATCCAAAAACAATAAGGTATTTGTAAATTTGCCTACACCAAAATCAGATTCATTGTTCCTGGTAAGCAGAGCTATTGAAATTGCATAGAGATTTGCACTTTTAGGGACCTTGAAGATGCACTTATATTTTATAGTAAAATATAATTCAAAATTATAACATGTTATGTGTAATTTACATAATATAATTTTTTTGAATCAATTGATTAGACACCATACATTTATACGAAGAAAAATATTGTGCTGGATGAGATGTAATTTAGATTGGGTATTAATATAAGTACAATTTAAATTTAATGCAGTACCTAAAATATTATTTTTGGTAAAATTATCCTTGTAATTCCAAATCAAGATAACAAAATGCAACCGAGGACTGCACAAATATAGATCAATAAGCAATAAGTATGTGGTTATTAATAGGTTTAGGTTTGAATAATATTAATTTATTATAGTAAAATAAAATATTTAGCCAATATAATTTGATAGATTTTTTAACATTTTTCTTTCGCTAGCCCATACAACAGACATGTACATTTTTTTTTACATTATTTAAAATAATTGAAATATGAAACACAAGTTTGAATTTTTAGTACTGTTAATTTAAATAGTTTAGTCATTTAAATGTTAATAGCAAAATATGCACGTTTTGACCAATAAAAAAGTACATAAAAATATTGTTTTATTATTTAAATATCTATAATATTGAGTACCAATTTAATTTAGTTCTGCTGAAATATTAGAGTAATATACTTTTGGTCATAGATACAGATATATAGTCCAAGTTAATTTGGAGGCTTAAACTCATTAAATCTTGAATGCTATATCTAAGCTTTTGCTTTTAATAGTAATATTGACAGGAATTATAAAATATTATATTATAAATATTGGTTAAAATTCCATATTTATATGACCTCAAAATTTAGAAATTGCCTAATAACACACAAATTGTAATGACGGGCCGTTCTCAGATATAATACAATATAATTTAATTAATTAAATCATAACCATCTAATAAAAATACTTAAGTAAAAGGTATTTACATTGAATCTTTATGAACAGTAATACCAGTTTCTGTTTCATTAGGAACAACTGCTCCTTGGTGTCTCAAGTCTGACCGTTTTCTCAAAGTTGTTGGTGCTTTATAAACCTAAAGAAGTGGGAGATCAATATTGTTACACAAATACGAATATTAAAAATAAAAAACTTACATGTGAATTTAATGAAGTTGTATCACTTTCTATTTGTGCTGAAATAGCTTCAGCGGTACTCGAAAAAGTCTTGACTGGACCAGACTGGCCAATTTTAGTGCCACTTTCCAGTACTGTTTTGCTTATACTTCCGCTTAATAGTCCTAAATTTACAATAGTTCAAATATTTAAATACATTTGAATATATTATATCCATGAAAATTTTACCTGCTTTTTTAGCCAAATCAGATTCACTAGCTTGGTTTACTTTTTTCTTAACTGAAGTCATAACAACATTAACAACATTTTTGGCTTGTTGAGTCACTTTAAATGTTTCTGATTCTATTGTGTTTAATTTCTGTCTAAAATGTTTATAAATTAATCACCAAAATATTAATAGAACAGTTACAATAATATTACCTAGCTTTAATTAAGTTATCCGATTCTTCCAATTTCTTTTTTTCAGCACGAAATTGTTCCAAATTTTTTTTCATCTCTTTGCTTTTAGAAATCTCATCCCTTATATTATAGATCAGTTGCATGACAAAATTTGGTTTTTGTGGAGGTGACGTTGAATAATACTTCAAGCAATGCTGTAATACCAATTAAGTTTAATATAATGCAAATATTACATCAACAAAAAATTTAGTAAATTATTGATAAAAACAAAACTAGTTAAAATTTCTTTTTTACACCAAAAAAAACACAAAAAAGGATATTATATTTTACAACTTAAGTCAATGTTTATAAATAATATGAGCTTTTGAAAGAAAAAACATTAAGCCTTTAAGAATATCATAAACGGAACATCCAAAATATATATTAACAGCAGTCCTGTAAAGTATTTGAGTAAAAGTATTCAAATTCTTTTTTAAGTATTGAATAACTTTTTAAATACTTTCAGCATGAAGTATTTTGAATGGCATTTTAAATACTTTTTTTTGTATTAAATACTTTTTGGTATTGAATACTTTGGTTTTTTATTTCGAACATTTTATTTTTATTCGAAATAATTTTAGAAATTTTAGAATGAATTAAGAACACAAAATAGGTAGTATCACCAATGGGTGGTTTCTTCCCTCAAAAAAAAATCATACGCAAATACCCTATGCACATTTGCTTATTGTTCTAGTTAAGAACCGATTGTAAATTTCATGTAAAAATAAAAAAAAAATGTAATAAACATTTATTTAATAAATAATAAATAAAAATGATTATAAATTTACTACCTATGTGTCTATATTACAATAATTAGAAACCCACTTTAAAAACCAAAAGTATTTGAAAAGTATTCCAAATACTTTTCCAAAGTAATTTGAGTAGTATTTGAAATACTATACAATTAAAGTATTTGAGTAGTATCTTAAATACTTAAAAAAAATGTATTTGAGTACTTACTCAAGTACTTTTCAAAAGTATTTTTTACAGGACTGATTAACAGAAAATATGAGATAATATATTGAATAAATTAATCAGGTTCAATACTTAACTTACGACCCTTAACTTAGGCCATGGAGATTTTTTTAAGATAAAATGCCTGTTAATGTATAGCCCATGAGCTTAAGTTTAAATCAATACCTACAATTTGTATAATAAACTACCATACCAATATCATGTTAATACTTACATATTATATTGAAATTAATTGTGTTTAGTTATAATATTAAGAAACACAAATAATAAAATATAAAAATTTCACAGAAAACCATATTTACATTAACTTATTTTCCGATATTCATAAAACCATATTTTTATTTTGTTACCCAACTCATCATAAACATAATGTACTTACTGTATTTCTATAGACATATTGATACTGTCGCCAAACAGAATACATGGTTGGGTGTTTTTGGTGTTTGTATTTATTAATATAAACTTTTAAAAGTCACACATTTGGGTGAGAAAAAAATGTTTTATTATTTACGAAACATGGATCGCCGGACCGGATGGACGACGGTGAAGTAAATCGGAGCGAGGTGATAATGAAATAAAAATGATAAGGAACATTAAAACATGATTTCCAGACGATTACGAATGGGGCGCGACACAACACTGTCTGTGGAAGGTATGGCGTATTCGTGAAAACGTCAATTACGTCGTCCGTGGAAAGGGTATAAAATTAATTTAAACTTAATCGATATCACGAATTTTCGTGTCCTATGCGAAGAAAATGTTACACACAAAATTGAAACGCACAAAAATCGAAAAATCGTTCGGACGCACAGAGTATAATATGTCCGTGTTTAAACGAGATCAAAAGTAAGTGACAACTATTTAATCCAACAACCAACTGTACGAACGGCCAAAACGTCCGCTACAGCGAGCAGCAGCTGGTAGGTATCGCGGACTGGGCGGCCAGAATCAGAGTAATCAGACGGTACCACGTTCGCCCGATCGCCGGCTAAACGAACCGTTTGTTCCATGACTTTGGACGTTGAATACGAAATAAGTTTAATAAAAGTTTATAAGTTTATAGCTACACAAACCCAGGTATTCAACAGTCAACATTTTTTGGAATCTGAGCGATTAAATGGCTGATTTTTTTTTTTTTAATTATTTTTTTTTGGGGTCTGTGTACACGATAAGTAGTCAAAATAATGCTTTGATTTTTAGGGAGGTGAAAATTCCCAGTCAAAAGCGTCTATACCAGCGGGTCTTAACCTGTGGTCCACGGCCACCTGGGGAGGGGGGGACATATACTCATGTCGACAGCCTTAAGGGGCCTCGCTACTGCCGTCAATTTTAGCTGAAAATACCTAAAGTATTGACAAAACCGATTTTGATTCTGAAAAAAAAATCGAAATCACCAGAAAATTGTCTATAGATCCTAGGAAACACTTTGTAAAAACTAAATTTTATATTATTGTGAACTGTAATTGAAAACTTGAAAATATAAACTTTTTTGAATCATAATTAAAATTAATATTAAAAACGGAAAATGTTTGGTACGATCTACAGACAAATTTCTGCTGAATTCAAATATTTTTTCAGAATCAAAATAGGACAACGTTAACTAACTTTAATTTTGTCAAAACAAATGTATGTTTTTGAAAAATTTGTGTACCTACCTAATTAAATTGATATGTGTTATATGAGTGTTGATATGAGTTATTGACATGTGCATACGAGTACGATACAGGATACCGGCATTTAATTTACCTCACACTAAGTGTAGTTTAAACTTTAAAGTGTGAAATATTTCACTATATGGTGAAATATCTCACAAAAACGTGAAACATTGAATTTTTTTAACACATATAAAAACACAATTTATTTATTTTTTGAACACAATGTTCAGTTTTCTAAATTCTAATGTCAGAATTTAGTATGTATACAATATATACATGTATAATATTGTATACCTACTTGTATCATTTAAACATTAAAATATTTAAACATTTTGAATACCATTTTAAATGTATAATACCAAAGGTTAGGTATTCATACTGACATACAGTTATGAAGGTAATTTATGACAATTATATGTAAATATAAAACTTATTTAAAAATAAAACAAAATATATTAAAATACTGAAATATTTCATTTTTTTAAATTTCATGAAATTTTCAAACACTTCTCACACTAATAATCATTTACAACTAACATATAGATCCCTGGCGGCTATGACAAGATTAGAAATTGCTTAAATGTTGCCTCTTAAATAATGACCTTAGCGACTAGCGAGGCCCCTTAACACATACATACGTCAATAAATGACATGAATGCATTATGTAGTGTAGCACTGTAGTCTCGACAGTCTTAAATTTACTGCCACTAAGTGCAGTTGATCGATCGTACTCAATTATAGTTGTATATAACATTTAAAAAAAAATTAATTGTGAATAATAAAATAAATATAAATATGTATGTTTTGTTAAGTCTACTTATGTAATTTGTTTTATAAAATAATTATTATAATTTTGGTTATGATAACATGACATATTTTGTAAGAAAAAAAGGTATTCAAAAAAAATGTGGTAGGGGGTCTGCGATTTCTAGAAATCCGTCCGTGATCTACAAAAAGGTTATAAGAACCACAAAAAAATTGAGAAAAAACGGTAATTTTTGCGACATAATAGATTTTGGTTATAGATGTAACTATTAAAAATTTCACTAAATGTTTATATTAGTAATTTATATGCACCATAAAATGTTCAAATATTGCTACTTTTTTTCAGCTATTTATAGGCATAAGAAAATTTCGAGTTTTATTAGTTCTTTTTAATTATTGACTATAACATATTTTATGTTTGTTCAAAAAACTTGTAGGTAACTGTAGTACAACGTTCTTCATAAATTGTACTTGTTGTTAGTGGAAACTAAAAGAGAAGTAAATCCATAATAATTTTTTATGAGTGTCAGAAGTTAAAATGTTGAAAAAATTCATCAAAATCACGAAAATTTACAAACTATTTCGAATTGGAAATTGATAAAAATGTTTCTATTTTTATCTAAGTTTTCAAAATGTAATACAAGATCCCCCTTAAGTTTTTCTACATTTAACATAATAAAAAAACTTTACCGGAAAGTCAAATTAAATTTTTATGAGCGTTTGAAGTTAGACATTGCCAACCACGGTTATTTACCTATAAATGAACAAAGTCTCATAGAACGGTTTTCTTCTTCTGTAGTAATTCAAAAACTAATAACCGCGCGTAGATACTTGAAATTTACACCAAATGTTTATTTTATATTTTATAATTTCCTATACTTGATAAAATTATCAAAGTATATATTGACTCGGGCATAAAAACAGTTCAGCTCCAAAGCGATATTTTGGAATTTTATTTTCAAAATGTGTGTTTTTCATGCCCAATTTGATGGTATTTTCAAAAAAAGTTGATCAAACTACATTTAGAATTTATGGTCAAAATAAACTTCTAATGGTTAATTTTCCAAAAATCATGTTTTTTAGGTTTAAAATACAAAACATTAAATTTTTTTTTGTAAATTACCTACTAAAATTTTGGTAAAATCAGAATTTACCTATCGTGCTTACTTTATATGTTATTATCAGGGCTCGGAAGTTCTAGAAAATGCATATTTTTCTTGGTTCGTCCTAGAACATCTGTAGTAAGATACAAATATGTATCACACTTCTCTGATATCATACACGAAATTTTGTTTTGCTATTTTTTGCATATTTACGGTTTTTATTGCTATTTTGCTAATTTAGGGTTTATAGAACTATTTTTAGGTATATTTTCATAATATACATAATATATAGATACCTACATGGCTACATATTATACAAAATATGCTAAATTATCACATGAGTATGTTAAAAATAATGATTAACTTGGTTACAAAATAAATGGACCTTATAAGTACACTTTTACAAACTATATTTAAGTAATTTAATATATTTGTTAACAGTTTATAATTCAACTAGTCGTGACAGTCCCTGAAGTCTATAAGCCCAACAGTTTTATAAAATAAAAAAATGACATTAAATTTTTAATAATTATATTTCAAGGTAATAATATTTAGTTTTAAGTGCATATTTAAGAGCTAAAAAGTAACATTTTTAGTGCTACAATTTCTTAGCCCAGCAGGTTATTATTAATAACCACGTAAAACTGAATTATAAAGTTATTTTTGACTTTTTTTCTTTCATTCAGTGTGTACCTAATGAGTAACAGCATAAAAAAGTTTTAATTGTTTAGTATTCTCTTAAAACACGATTTTTGGAAAAATTGAACATTTTTAAGTGTTTTGGCTAAATGAAGTTTGAGCGACTGTTTTTGAAAGTTCCATCCAGTTAAGCATGAAAAAACACACATTTGAAAAAAAAATTCTTATAGTTTTATAATTTCTTTTTCTACAAATGTCGATAAAATGTTAAAAGCTTGTGAATTTAATACAAGGCCCTTGCTATATTGTTATAACAGCAATTAAAAAATATTAAAAATACTGCACTGGTACGTTTTTTTTTATTAGAATTTAAAGTTCAAATGTTGACGAAGTTCATCAAGTTGAAAATTTACAAATTATTTAGTAGTTAAATATTTATAAATAGGGAGTGTCATTACTGGGTGGCTTCTTTCAACAACTCTTTCAAGTCAATTGTAAATAATATAGCCCATATTCTTATTGTGCCTCTATTGGTACAGATTGTATATAGCTTATAAAAAATAAAAAAATAAAAATATTTTTAAAATGTTTAACTTTTATAGCTAAGGATTAAAATTTAAAACAAGGTTGCACTAAGTACTTAATAATTGTGTAACCAACAAATCTAAAAAATATATAACCACAGTTTTTTTGACAAATTTTGTCAACATTTGAACTTAAAATGCTTATAACAGAAAATTGTCCTTATGTATTTTAAATATTGTTCAATTGCTAAAGTAACAATATATCAGGAGCCTTGTATTAATTTTTATCGCTTTTTGGCCCTACAAATAATATTTTATTAAAATGTATAGAAAAAAAAAACTAAAAAAAATGCAAACTGAAAATGTCCCTAAACAGCTCTAAGCAAGTCAGAATATTTTGAAAGTTTATGGTGTACCTATATTAAGTGCTTATCTAAACATTCAGTGATCATTTCATGTATCTACGGCCATTTGTTTTAGAATTACACCCAAAAACCAAAATCGATTTTCCAAAAAAATAAAATTCCATTTTTCCTTAATTTTTTTTATTTTTCTTCGTGCTTTTGAAAACTACAGGGAATTTTTGACCTCCACGATACACCAACAGCAAGCTAGATTAATTTTCCTATCAAACAAGATACTCAAGTTGTAAATCGAAGCCATAGGTGTGGGCCAATGATACTTCAAACAAATTATTTTAAACACTGTTATCCATCTATAGAATTACATTAATTTACTCACCGGTCATCGTCATCACCTACTGTCTAAATATTAAGGTAATATAATAATATATATATTTTTATTCATAAATAGGGCTAGGATTTATATGCATTTGCATATTATTTTCCTTAATTCCAAATTGATAGGTTGTGATATATGCCCACGATTTACCTTATACCCTCGATTAAATAGAACCATATTTTGTTTGCATATTTTATAGATTCAAGATCTTGTTAAGGCGGCTCTTAGTGGCTATTATTTAAGGGGAACAATTTAGGCAAATTCTAATCTTGTTGTCGCCGCCCGTAATCTATGTGTTAGTCGTAAATGATTATTAGTGTGAAATTCGAACTCGATAACAATAGATTTTAAATCGGCCGGCTGCGGGCACACCATAGACCTTATACTTAGTATAAGGTCTATGGGGCACACGGTCAATAGCACAGGTACGCGCATGCACATGTCAACATAATCACTCTCGAAAAATATTTTTGTACACTCACAACAGTGAAAAATGCTAATAAGCTGGCGAAAAATACACATACTTCTAGTAGTCCAATTTCAATTTTGAAGAATTATTTAAATTCGTCAGCCTCTTTTCTATGATTTGTAGGAAACCGATTTTGGATATTTTAGATAATTTACGTATATTACGGTTCCAAATGACTGCTTGATTTCTCAAATTTAACTTGCACTTTTAAGTGCTAACTAGACAAAAAGATGATAAAGTTTTTCCTACAGATCATAGAAAAGAGGCTAACGAATTCAAATAAGTATTCAAAATTTAAATTGGACTACTAGAAGTATGTGTATTTTTCGCCAGCTTATTGGTCTAAATGCATGAAAAATCCAATCGTTTAGAGCCGCCTTAATTTTGTTGATATAAAAAAATGAAAAATCAGAATGCTTGAACCACAGATATGATCCATACCATAAGTATGTTACAGCTTTCAGGGAGGGGGCCGTGGCTCACCTGGCCCACCCCGTGCGCACGCCTATAATATGATCCAAGCATTATTTCGACTATATTTATATACCGCGTACACAAAAATAATACACATCATTTTAAAACAAATCAATACTTCTAAAATGTTTTTACAAGCTTACAACGATAAATATTGTGGACTACAACGCTCTATATATTATAATCTATTGCCACTTTTATCGGAACTATTCATATTTCATACCTAATTCAAATTTCCAATTTTTTTTTAGTTGAGTAGTCACGATTATAAAAATATTTTATTCCCATTCCAAGTTAATTTTAATTAATAATTTGTAAATAAAGCAAATGGTTTGTCAATTTTATAAAAAAAAACTCCGCCTGCCGAAATTCCGACTTTTTTACGATGACGCTACCCCGCATACCCCACTTCCCTACGGCATTCCGGCCCTGAACTGCGTACGATATACATTTTGAATATTTTATAATTGTTTTGTTATATTATATGTATATATAATATTAATTATTAGTTTGGAAATTTACATCGTAATGATCGCAGGGACAGAGTTGTAAGTCCTATTAACTTTTGCAAATTACAATTTTCAATTTTGACGAGCGCAAAATGTGGATGGGTTCCGATCGGCCGGCAAAACATTTCATGGCATGAACAGTTCCGACTTCCGACGGATGACGGTGCCGACGTGTTTAATCAATGTCTTACAACGCGGCGACACGACGACCGTGATAACAAGTAATCACGATGATAACGACATCAGAAATTTGAGTTTGTGAATTTGTGATATTAGAGCGTTATTCTCGTGGAGAAAATCATTCAGAAACGGCTACTACCGTTTTATAATTTGTAGTATAGACAGTTGGAAGCTCGTTTTGATGTTTCCCGTATTGGCTATCGTCTAAACGCCATCGATTAAACGACATTTAACCTGAAAATACCTAACACCTATTCAACACTCAATGCATTAGAACACTGAACAATGTGGTCCGATACATTTGTCATCGTATTTATTTCAATTTGTACGGCTCTATTAGGAGAAGGTAAATTTAGCTTTATCAACTGTGGGATAATATCTATTATCGCGTTTGTGTTTTGTTTTAAAATTAAACTGGATGTGTTTGTATTGCAGATAAATATGATTTTAAACGTTTTTGTACACTTTTTAATTATGTTTGATATAGGGTAGGTGTGGTTTAGTTTGTGTTATGTGAGAGACTTTCAAATGAGTAGTCACTGTGTATGTGTTGATATCTAATATATATTATCAACAAATATCAAAATATGCACGGTGTCACACTCTTTAATTTTTCCAGTGGTAGGGGATTGGGAAATTTAATTGTACCACAAAAACCGTAGACGGTAGAGCATGCTAAATAATAATTTAGATGAAATTAAAGACAACCAAACAAGTGTTATGGGCTTATGGCTATCATTGTCTACTCTTACGCTATCATTAGATATATATATCATTATTTTCTTATCATGTGTTTGGTTTTATTATTTTGTTCATGTAGGTTGCTAATACAAAAATCTGGTCTTCTGTGTATCTAAAAATGTTTATATGTGTAGATAAAATGTATGTGTAATTTAAAAAGAGTAGTCATAATCCATTAGAATAAAATATAGAACATTAGATGTATAATTGTACATTTTTACCTCTCTGTAAGCAGGAACTTTTGTTTGATTTCCATTCAAAAATTAATTTTTTTTGACAAGTGAATACGTTGCAAGCCAATTCAGTGGCGCAGGAACTATTTTTCATAAGGGGGGCAAAACATAAAAAAAAAACCTAACGACTATTATAGTATATTTATTTGTAATTGATAACAGAAAACCTTTCTTAATATTTTATTCTTTTAACGTTAATATAGGTAGTTTAATATATAGGTATATACATAAATATATGTATATATATTTTTTTTATTTAAAAGTTTACCAACATATAAATGTATAAATTTAATGATTAAATTTATACATTTATATATTGAAACAAAACATGAATCATATTTACGTTCTACCTAAAGTTAAAATAACAGTATCTAAATATAATAAATAAGTTTTAAAAGAAATATATTTACTATATACCTGAAGTTGTATTCAAAAGTAACAATATATTATACAGAAATATAAATAAATGAAATATAAAAAAATGTATTTAATTTATACCTTAGTCCTTAAGTTATATTCTAAAGTAACAATATGTCAATATATAAATAAATATAAAATAAAAATAATAAATAAATGTATATAAATATAAATAAAATAAAATAAACTTCACAAAGGTTATTTTTTAAAAAGAATTACCTATAAAATTAATAAAAATTTCCAAATGTTTATTTCCTTTGTGAAGTTCTGGAAACAAATTCTTTGGCAATTAACTTCAAATCAATGTTGAGGCGACATTACTGATATTATTTTGTAAATCCTGTAAAGACTCCTGAAAAAAAACTTATAGCTGAATCAGAGAAATAAATGCTCAAACAACACTTAAATGCATGCATTTTTTAATGTTATACTGTCATTGCTTATTAAAAAAGTTTTTTAAATTTTTTCTTTAATAATTGGTAGGTATCTAAAAAGTAAAATTATTATTCGTTCAACAAAAATATTGCTTTGTAGAAATCAGTTTGATTTAGGTATATTGATATATCACTATATCAGTAATATTTATATTTATAACAATTTATTTTACTGGACAGATTAATAATTACAACAAATAAAACAAATTTATTTGAAAGTATGTCTTAAACTTACCTCGTTAGGTATAAGTTCCTGAATTTTCACAGGTGTTGTTTTCGATTTTAAAAAGTCTTTAATATTTTTTTTGGGATTGGGAACAGTCATTGCAGGTACGTGTAACCATTACACTTGGTAAATATTTAATATGAATGTTACTGTAAAGTGTAAACTGTTATAAATTAATAATTATACTTTTACATTTATACTGTATTCTGTAGCGACAGCCGACAGTCACGTTCACGACAGCGTACTCATTTAATAATCGTAATCAGTTATCATTAATTGCCAATCAGAATCTTATCGTAAACGATATAAACTGTAAAAACCCAAAAATAGCCTAATGATATTGTAATAATAAACAATATTGTAACTATGTTGTGAGAACACTATCCGGGACTGGTGTATAAAATAAATATTTGATAAAGCACTTCGACCGAAAACGTCTATAAAAATTTCTCAATATGTTTATATATTGTATTATGTTATAATAATAAATCGATAATAATAATAATAATATTATAACGCACATTCATGAAAATGAGACTTATTTTGTATAAATACGTATAAATTAAGCCTAAATTACGATTGTATTTTACCCTTTTTAATGTGGTAGGGGGGGCAAAATGATACTTTTCAATATAAGGGGTCAATTGCCCCCTCTGCTCCCCCTTCTTCGACGCCACTGCAAGCCATAGAAAAGAGATAAGTTGCAAGCTTCTAGAATGAAAATTATTAGAATATATTATACAACTTAAAAGGTTGATTTTTATTTATTTTTATACTGGATAGACTAGAATTACTATTTAAAGTAACTAATAAAGATTACATTTAAAAGAAAATTCAGATACCTAGGTAGGTACTGTTATAAAAAATGCATAAATGGTTTGTAACATTTATAAAACTAAATAAATGACAAATTGTTCATAAATACTTATATGTAGGTATTGTGTTTTGTATGATAAAATACAAATATAACCTAACAATTTACAACTTTAATATTATATTGATATAATTATATTTATATATAAAATACCTACTTATTTTAGCCACACCAACCCTGTACTGGCTGTAATAGAAATAATATTTTGATAATATTGACACTATATAATAAACTATGTATAAAACTATTTTTCATGCCTCTGATTTGTTAAACTGATGGACATTTATCTGGAAATGATTTCATTAAAGTCGTTATAGATGGCCCAAACTAGGATTTTATCAACATCTAACAGTTAATTTCACATTAAATAATCAATGTAAACGAGTAATGACTAATAGTTTAATATAAACGACTAAGAAAGTTTTGTTTGTTCCAGTTAATTGTTATAAATTGCTACTAACTAGGTAAAAGATAATTTTTTTGTTTTTATAATATTTATTATTGTACATAATTTTATATTTATAGTAACATAATATTATTAATATGTTCAATAATATATTATTCATACTATTTTATATATAATATTAACATTTGTTACGTTACCACTCGCATTGTTTTAAAATTATTTCTATACTTCTATAAAAATGAAAATATTATTCTCTATCTTTTTTGTAAATGGTGAATTTTCTCTAAGATTACTTAAAAACAGAAAAAATGATTCAGCGTAAATGCATTTGGTCTATGTTACGTGTGGGTCGGAGAGACAAAACAAAGTGTGCTGACATCCTCTTAAAAGAATCATAAGAGTAACATATTTCATGTATTCATGTACACAAACACAGTACTTATTACGTATATTCATGTGTATAAATTTAATTTTATAAATAATATTATTTCTGTTTTTATAAATCTTAACTTAAGTGCTATTATGTATAAAACATTTGCATGGAGTATGATAATTCCAAGTTATTATTCATTACATTGGTGTTTTTAGTTTCCCTTAAACGAGCTTAAATTTCTTACTATTTTTACATTCATAAATCTAAACTATTAATACTTATATAAAATAAATGTTTTTGCAGGATTAACATGGTTATTAGTATATCGAACCGAAAAATATCAAAAACTGAAAGTGGAAATTGAAAAATCTAGTAAAAAACGTAAGTTTTCATATTTTTACAAAACATTACAAACATTTTTATAATTTATTGAAAAAAATATTATTATTATTTCAGTTGAAAAACGTAAAGAAGCTCATGGAGACTCTGTAGACAAACAACAGAAGAAAAAAATTGAACGTGTTGAGGAAAAACTTAAAATTAACAATCGTGATTTGTCAATGGTAAAAATGAAGTCCATGTTTGCCATTGGTTTTGCATTTACGGCATTATTAAGCATGTTCAATAGCATGTGAGTTTAATTTTTACATTTCCCAAATAATATTTTAAATATTTAATTTATATTTCAAATACATAGATTTGATGGACGTGTTGTAGCAAGATTACCTTTTACACCTATTCCTTGGGTTCAGGGCTTATCACATAGAAATCTACCTGGTGATAATTACACAGAATGTTCATTTATTTTCTTGTATATATTGTGTACCATGTCAATACGTCAAGTAAAATACAAATATTTTTTAAAACCATGTAATATTATTAATTGTATAAACAACTATTTAATAATTATTTTTTTTGTATAATAGAATATTCAAAAATTATTGGGATTCGCTCCATCAAGAATGGCTAATAAACAAAGTGGTGGCTTATTTGGACCTCAACCTCAACAATTTAAATAAATTCAATTGGGAATAACAAATTAGTATTAACATAAAAGACCAATTTATGTTTTTTTTGTATTACAAAAAAAAAAAATCAAATTATATTTGTACTTTTATAAGTTTTTGTAAGATATTTCATGATACTATTAGTTAAATGCAACTCTAATAATGTGAAATTTCATAATGGATGTTTAATTGTCAAAAATTAAAATATGCTATACCACACTTTATTCACTTATAAGTTATAATGTTACGATTCTATAGATACCGTTCAGTGTCTAGAATCCCTTGTTCGTGGTTGAAATATTGAGATTTGAAATAATAAAATAAAATATTTGTGCAACTTAATATTATGTTTCAAAGTTAACCAAGAATTAAACTATTAATAATTTTCAAAAACGTTAGAAAAATAGAACAACCAGTGTTGGGTTTCCTACCTTGCTTGTAACTTATTACAGTGAATTAGTGATTTAACAATATTATTTCTAGTATATTTGCAATGGTCACCTCTTGATTGACAATCCATTATGAAGTTAACGAATATTGTCAATTTATTCCACTTTCCTACATGATGCATTACAGACATCGACTTAACCTACCCTTAAGAGTACACTGAACACACATGCATTGTTTTTGTCTTAGGGTCTGTATTACAATAGTTGTACGCTGGTTAAACCACCGAATTCGGTAGGTAAAATCAGTGGTTCAAGAGTAACCGAGGTTTAAACTATGATTGTAAAACGGGCCCTTCCAAACACAAAATTTAACAAATTGTACCTCCTGAATAAATTAACTCTATTTAACTCATTTAACTCAATTATGTTTTAGTATTAGAATTAATTGAACATTGTGAACAAGGCTGAGCATTTTTTCATAAAAATGTAATAACTACTTTTTTATATCTAACAAATAACTTAGTAATTTAACCACACAGTTTTAAATAAATGTATATATTAAAATTAATAATCAAGCTTATAATATTTACAAAGAGAATATATTTTAAATCTGTAGCTTTAAGAAAAAAAATCAACTTAAAGTAACAATAAAATTAACTCATAAGTTACTGCATAATATGGAAAAAATGTAAAATTTGCTGTTGTGCGTAAGTAAGATGAAGACAATGCATGTAGGTATAGCTTCCTCGTGGGCATTTGTAATATTTTATTCTTTACAAGTAATATGTGTATCAACATTTATTATAATTTATACTGCCTTATAATCAATTGTGGTATTTATATAATAATGGGAGTTACTTATGAGTTATGAAATTACTGTAAACTTATCAAATAACAAAAATATAAAATAGAATATTAAAAATTAAACCAAACCAGATAATACCAAAAAAAATATTCTAAAAAGCTTCTGTTCTTTAAATTTATAAAAAATATATATTGTATATCTTTTAATTGTACATGGAAATAATACTAGACAAATATTTTAATACTTATAGGTCCAAACATCTATAATATATTACCATTAGATATTAAGTTATTTAAGATGTGTAGTAATAACTCTTTCAAGATTCTTAAAAAAATATAATGTAACAAGAACAAATTAAATCAGTGGTACGCTACTTGAATATTTAAAAAGTTTAATAATTTTAGTCTTATTAGTTTTAAAATGTTTTTGTTTATTGTAATTAAAATAACTATATATAAAGAATAAGTAAATCATACTTAACCTAAATTGTGAAATCGTAAGCCATTGTGTTCAGTGGGGCTTCTAATTTATTTGAAGAATAGGTGTTTACACGTCATATGCATATGCATAAATATTTTACTATAAGGTATTAAAATTAATGTTTAGTGAGAATAAGTATGTCAACAGCTATTATATAATACAGTGGTCGCCGCTTATTGGACTCACGGTTAATTGACTCATTCGCCTATTAGACTCAAAACGGCTGGTCGCACATATACTAACACACAGCAAAAAATTCTTCTATTCGACTCACACACCGGTTAATAGGGTCATTTTTTAATTGCGTAAAGCAAGATTTTTATTCTTATACATACATACCTTGAATCTCAATACATATTTTTAAGTTTTCAATTTTTTTTTTGATTCATTCGCCTTATTGACTCATTCGGTTAATCGACTCAAAGTGAGTCCAATAAGCGGCGACTACTGTATAATATAATACAATACAGTGAAACCTCTAAATACCGGTTACCAAAATTTTGGCCTCTATTCAGAAGTGTCTGTTAAGGGAGGTTTCACTGTATAATACCAGAACTTCAAATATCAAACATAATAGTCCATTTACTATCAACCTAATTAATGTAATATTTTTCTTAAATATTTACTATTTAAATCCAGACATCCAAAATCTATCCATTCTTCTGATCATATAAATTATAATCAATAAGAACAGCAATACAATCCATTATACATTGACCCACTTGTAACCTTACTGTACTGCAGAGCGACATCCACTTACCCACTTTTTTAAACTTTGTTTGTTGGCCAATATCCTTAGAAGACAGGTCTTTCATAATTTATCTAACTTCCTGAGCCTCACCTTAAAAATATTCTTTTTACATAAACTTGACAATTGTAAGTCAAAAATATACAAAAAATTGTTATGAATTTTTTAAAAATATGTTTAATTTTGTCACAGGATACTATAGTTGTAATTTGAAGATAATAATATAATAAAAAGTAAAAACAAATGTTAGTTCTAAATCAATTGAGTATAATTTATTATAATAAATATATGTAAGTCATATAAAATGCATATACTGATAACAAGCAGAACACAACACATTATTAATAATTTAAAATTCATAGCTAAAGCTTCATAGCCATTTTAACTTATATAGATTGTTATAAATTATAATTAATTGCATATCAATAGTTTAAAAAAGTTTCTACGCAGTTAATAAATAGGTTGTTATAAATAAAAATGTACAATTAAATTAAAAATTGTGATAAAATAAACATGACTTCTTTTCAAAAAATGTACAAATAATGTATTATTCGTGAGTTGTAATTTAAGCAGTATAAACAAAATCTAGTGATTAATCTTAAAGATAACATAATGTTCAAAACAATTTTCTAAATGTTGGACTAGGAGTAGAATATAATTTAATAATATAAGCTTATTACCAAAAACCTAAAGACTGACCACCAGGGGGATTTCTTACACGGATACTCGACTTCTTAACAGGATCATTAAACTCGGCTGAAATCAATATTTCTCTCATTATCCACTTAATATTTATTTAAGATAAATTAACTTTTTATTGATAATTTTACTTACAACTGATTGAAAACGTTGAGCTTTGGAGATCTCGCTGTCCTTCCATACGCATTCCTTTCCCTGTATGAATCATGGGAGATTTTGTACAGGTAGACACATCACTTGTGACACTCGATGGTGGAGAAATTTGCAATTTTAATGCCTTGATTTCTTTGCTTTCATCAATAACTTCTATTTCAGATACCTGCATAATCAAAAGAAAAATAGACGAGTGTTGAAATAAAAGATTATATTTGAAACATTAATATAAATTAAAATATCTTTGTCATTAAAATCAAGTACTATTGTATTTATGGAAAGTTTAAAGAAACTAAAAGTTTAATAATGATAAAGGTATTTTTTAATTTATTCTTTTAAAATTTCAAAGGTAAAAAATTTAAAAATGCCACAGGTATTTAGGTTTTGCAATAAGTAAAAATGCGATATCATATGAACCCCAATAATCCGGCGTTTTTGTTAATGCGGCAATCCCCTCTGCTCTGATATCTGTTGGATTACCAAGAGTTTATTGTATTCTACAATTAAACAATTTGTCAATTGAAAGTGGTGAAATATTAAATCAACTAAACCCCAATGATGAATTAGGTATTTAATTTTAAAAATTCAAATTCAAATAAAAAACTATCTATTCAATAATTTTGTAAAGTTTAGATCTATGATTTATTTTTGTCATTTAAATTTATGTAAGGGTAAATTATATAAGGGTTTCTTTTAATAAATATATTTTTAACATTTTAACTTGAAAGTAATATTGTTTATACATAAACAAATAAATTAAATAATATTATGCTGTTAAAAATTATAGAACTGGGAGAAAAACTTGATTTATTTGATGTAATTAATTAGTATTTGGGTACGCTAACTAAAATTACTTAAGTTTATTAAATATATATTTAAAAAAAGTATATACTTTCTCATTGTTGTACACAAATTCTGAATGTGTAGGCGTGGGAACATATTTTCCATGACCTTGAACAACTTTTAATTGTCCTTCATCAACACAAACACGGCCACCAACTAATACATACTCAGGAATACCATGACATTCCATTCCCTAAATTAAAATTTTTTAATTAATGTATTATTGTGTTAAATGTATTTTTATTTTTGTTTTTAAATTGGTATAAGATTATAGTATTGATATAAGACAATATATTTACTTCAAAAATATTATAATCAACCGCTTGATGGTGAGTTTTTGCAGAAATAATGCGCTTTCCTTTCGGGTTCCACACAACTATATCAGCATCTGACCCAACATCTATGCAACCCTAAAAATTATTAATACAGATTCATATTATTACAAAAAAAAAATAAAATATTTTATATATAATTTTTATATCAGTGATTTTGTATAAAAAAATAATTATATAATTTAGGATAGTAAACCATCAATTCAATATAATTTAAGTTCAACTCAAGTTACATAAAATATTATTGTACCTATGAAACAAACCTATCATATTATATATTATAATCATATATAAATAAAATATGATAAAATTGTAATATTTTATCAAAATTAAATCAATATTAAAAATTTGAATTACTTTTTCTGAATTTTATATATTGTTTTAAATTTTTATTGTGAAATCTAGTATATGAAATGATATATAATCAGAGTTGATATTAATCAAGTATAGAATATGTAATTAAAAACATTAGGAGAGGTTCTACGCACAAATTTAATGTTTAAATTAAATTAATAATAATAATAATGTAAAATCGATTTATTTCATCAATGGAACAAATAAACATACAGTATGCCATAATAAATAAAACTTACTTTTCTTGGAAAAATATTAAAAATTTTTGCCGCATTTGTACTGGTAATTGCAACAAAACGACATGGGTCGAAAAGTTCTGAAACTACACCCTTTTCCCAAATAACAGACATACGATCCTCTACTCCATTAACTCCATTAGGTATTTTAGTAAAATCCCCTTTACCCAAGGATTTTTGATCTTTGTTAAATGTTGCATTATCACTTCCTGTTGTTTGTAATTTATCACTAGAACATTAAAATATATTTAAATTTAATAAAAAGTATGGTAAAAAAAATTGTTTAGTACAATCAAATTTCAATAAGGTCAAATTACCTGGCTAACATGTTTAGTAAAAAATTCGGAGTGTCAGGGTCAGCTCTTAATGGCGGACTTAAGACATGAGCTGCAGCATCATGCCAACATGTTAATTTATTTTCATCCCAATGTGTTCCAACTGCGGCAGCTAATGTCTCACCATAAATTTTAGTATTCCCATTTTGTTTGATTTGTTTTGCACGATGTTTTGCTAAAACTTCAGCAGCTGCCTTACTCATAACATGTACAACATACAGCGGTGATCCAACCTAAATATATATTATATTATTAAAATATCAAAGCACACTCATAAACTAACTAAATGCAGTGATGTGTCTGCTAACAGACATTTTTTTTATAAAATAGTTTTCATTTTTTGTTTTCAAATAGAAGTATATAATTGAATTAAACTAATATAAATTTAGAATTTATGAGTTTTTAAACCTTTTTTTAAATTAATAAATTATTAAGTATAAATATCAAATATAAAACAGTATGTTGTAATATTATAGGTACAAGTGTAAAACACGTTCTACCTTAACATTACAGTGATAACTTTTTCGCTGTGTCTAGATACTCCATAATATTTAAATATATATCGATATTATAGTTTTATTAATAATTTTCAAACATAATACCATTATTTATTATTCATGAACATGAATGAATATTAATTAAAATTTATTTTCTTTTGGTCCCCCTCAGAATCTAAAAGTTTGTAGCAGTTTATAACTGCTATTTAAAAATGTAAAGCTCAAATTATTGTTTAGTAAATAATGTTTAAGACATAAATATATTATAATATATTGTATTATTATTGACTGTACCTACAACATGAGCTATTATTACTTAGAGATAAAGATTGATAGTAAGAGATGGAATACAGAGGTAAAGTCTATATTAAATTAATGCAAAAATATATACCTATTTGAATTCATTCATATGGCATTGATTGGTGAACTCTTCACAATTTAGTTTAGTTGGTACTAAATAATTCTAGAAATATTAATTTACTTACACTTTAACCAGCTGGGGTGTTACAAAGGAGGAGTCCATGTATGTAGTTAATCATTATCTACACCAGAGGTTCTCAACTCAGGATACACGAGATGATCTCAAAGGGTATGTGGAAAAAAATTAGGTACTTGCGGGAACGTTTTTTATCTGTTTTATTTATGCAATATATGTTATTAAAAATGAAAAATAGGGTCACACAAATAATAACTATAGACTTGTCATTAAGATATGAGGTATAGAATACTAAAAGTGTGTAATAATATAATATGGTTGCTGGTTGGGACTGCATTGAACTTTGTCCGTTCAGGCGGAGTGGCAATAACAATATTATTGTCACATATTTGTATACCCAGGTTAAACTCAATTTTTTATCGGCATCTAGTCAGTTTGTCAATTGCTTTCAAACTGTGATTATTGTATGTAAAAGATTTTTATTTATACTATATAACTATATATTTTCATTATTTTTATATTGTTTCTTGGTAGTTGCTAAATATTATTTATTGTTTTGTGTGTTTTAATATAAAATATAAAAATATACACATTATTACATTATTGTTATTTTTTAAAAGTTTAAAAGTTGTAATGGGGGGTAAAATCTTGCAAAATATTAATCATAGAGGGTACAGAAGAAGAAAAAATGGGTTGGGAACCTATCTAGACACTGCGTCATTATTTTTTATCCAGTAAAAATTATACCTGATTTGATAGTGTACAAGCTCTATTAACGGCTTCTGCTTCAACTTCTTCAGGTCGAGATAATGCATGTCCATCTGGTCCATTAATACCAGACTTTAACAACCGTTTTGTGTTCTTAAACAGACATAAGTTTAAAATTGATCATACATATTTTATAACTGTATATGCTGCATACTTCAAACACTATATCTCCATTTTCAGCATGTACCATTGGAATTGCACCAAGCTCTTTACATGTTTCAAAACTGTTGTATAATTCAGAATCATTCACCATAAAAACTCCTTTATATGCCATAAACATCTTAAAAGAGTTTACTCCATGCAATTTACAAAGTTCTTCCATTTCTCTTTTCACCTGAATATTATAATTTACATTTAATAATAAATATATGGATATACCTAATACAATTAATTATAAGTTAAACATTTTTGATTGTATCATTGAATATACAACAATAAAATATAACAGAACAAATAAATAAAAAAAAATTAACTTGTAATTTTGTTTTATTTTTTTAAATTCCAGGTAATAACATACCTCATCTGACCACGAAGTAACACCTATATGTAAAGCATAGTCACAACAGACTTTATTTGTTGCACGTGTTCTCCATTTATGATAAGCATCTAATAAAGACTCGCCCTTACTTGGTAACGCAAAATCAACTATAACAAACATAATGGTTATTTAAATTGCTTTATTTTACATAAATTAAAATAAACCGCACTTATCATTGTTGTTCCACCAGCTATTGCAGCTTTAGTTCCTTGATAAAAATCATCCACAGATACTGCTCCCATAAATTCTAATTCCAAATGCGTGTGAGGATCTATACCACCTGTAATTTTGCACTTGATATACATTTTTTGTTAAACAAATAACAATAATTATTAAGGAATGTCCTACATAAAATCTAAATAAAAACTAAAATACATTGTACTTACTTAAAATGTATAATGTACTGTTAGAATGTTTGGACAAAAATAAAGTATTTTCCATATCTAATTATAGCTACTGATTAAATACAAAAGATGATTGTTACACTACTTACACTTACTAATTTACATCAGTGTATCGTGATAAAAGTAAATGAGACTATAACATTGCATTAAAATTAAAACGCAGCAAATCAGACTATTATGTATTTAATACATATTATGCATTGGTTGTGTATTTTGAAAACCAATAGCAATATCAAAAAGAATAGTTAATTATAAAGTTGTCTATAGTTTCCATATTATAGTGCCTCCATTATTATTTTATTTTATTCAATTGGAAGATTATATATGTTTTATAAAAATATTATTTAAAACCTAGTTATAAACATTTGAATATAGAAAAAACTAAATAAAATATTCAAATGTTTGATATTTTTCTTTAACTTTTATTTCAATACATGTAAAATTGCTATAGTAGATGTTTATATGAATTTAATTTGATATAGGTATAGTTTTTAAAGGTATACCAAAAAATGAAATGTTTGTAACTAATAATTTTTTTAGGGTTAACCTACAATAATAAATGTAAAATATAAGCCAAGTAACAAAACTTAAAACAATTTATTAAAAATATAAGAGATATTTTTTTAAATATTTTGGAGATTTAAAATATGTGTAAATAGTTTTGACATTTAAAATATTACACAGTGAGGTTGTATGGTGAATGACCCAATTATTATTTACCTAGTAATAAGTCAAACAAGTCAAATTGTAGTATTGTATTTATTATATGAACAGTTTTATTTTAAGAAATATTTAATTAATATTCCATATGACTATTTATCAAAAAATATCATGTATACATCATATTATCAGCTTATTACTTTTATAGTATACATTTTTTATACATCATATATTATACTTAAAATATGGTTTTAGTATAATAGTATGTGTTTCATCCTGCCATCTATTAGGTCTGTTCATTTATTCATGTTCATTTTGAACTAATCTTATACCTCAACTTGTCTGGATATCATTTCAAACAATTAATGCACGTCTCGACATTGTATTTTACCCAGCAGAGAAGTTGTGCTTGGAGCTCCGAAAGATGGCGATGACGTCAAAATAATTTACACAGTATATAAACATTGCTGTAATAAGATAATTCTTTGTCATTGGTAATGTAAAACATTTAATCTGAAGCTAAAAGCAGAGTTAATATCTTATAACTATTATCTTTAAACGTGCAAGGCATGACCCATCAGTATTATTGAAAAACTAGCTAGAAATTATTATACTTTGTACTATAGTTATATTTTTTTTTAAATTAAAAATTAGTTATTAGTTATTACACTAATATGGGAAAATCACTATATTTTTTAGTAGGTTTTGAGTACACCCCGTGTACCTCTCATTATTGAGTCAATGTTATAGTTCACTGTGAATGTGTTAAATTTTAATTCTAAGTTAAATTATTATACACGAAAAGCGATTCTGAATGTAAATGGATTCCAAGTCAGCCTTTGGTTCTAAGGAGTAAGGATATTTTATAATTTATTTATATTACTATTAGTAATTTATTTTTAACTAAATGAAACAATAGGTTGAACTAATTTTGAACTAATTTTGGCCAAAAACATCACATTTACCATATAATACTAATTATATTATTCTTATTAACTTGATATGAATTGAAATTAAAATTAATTTAAATATTTTGAATTTCATTGTATAAAGTAATAATAATTTATTTAATGTTGAAAAGTTCCAAGTTTCTACAAATAATATTTTTTGAATTACAACAAAATAGCTTTTATAAAGAACAACCATTACATTTTTTACAGGATCTTCAATCACATCAATATTTTAATTTTAAACTAGCAAAATAAAACAAATAAAAAGGAATGTGGCTTGAAATAATCATGTATTACATTTTCAAGAATTAAGTATTAAAATAATAGTTTCATGACTTTGATTAATTTGATTAATGTTTTAACTTTAAGCACTTATAAAAATCGTGACTGTATTTTCTATATTTTTCAAATACTGTAAAACCATCTTTTGATAAACCTTGTATATAGTTTAAAATTATTTTGACTTACATACAAAATCAGAAAATAACTTTAAACCTCCTATAAAATCCCAACTAAATTCAATGTTGCTATCAGAGACCACCTTAAAGTTGAAGATTGAAGCATTTTTTCTGTTCCGAAACATGATGAGATACAAAAATTGAAATAATTATTATTGCTACTAAAATATGTATATTTATAATTCCACTCAGAATCTGAAAATTTAATATTATAATATTATAACTTATTTAAATAGCTCCATGCATGTATTTAGTTTTGAAAGATTTAAGAATCAAGATTGTTAAAAAGATTGCCCAATTAAACACATTTTGTAAGGGTTATTTAATACATTTTCAAAATGTTACTATATTTTTATTTTTATTTAAAATTGTAACTATACCTACCTATTAAATTTTTTTTTCATAACAATACCAGTGATTTTTATTTTAGGGATCAATCGATATATAAATAACTAGGGCCAGGGACTTATAGGAGTTTGAATGTTTTCTTATAGTCATTCAAAACAAAGCTTAGTGATATAGAAATCTATTTCATAATACCAGGACTCTATAGACATTTTATGTATGCTTATTTTTACATTAGAATTGAAATTTTCTTAAAATTGGTAAAAAAAAAATTGAATATTCAAAGAAATTAGTATGGGTCATGTTTTCCTCATGTGTGGGACCATTTATAGTTGCTTAAAAATATCTGATATCTGAAAATATAAACATAATTTTACATAGATTTAATAAACTAATTTAATTTTTAACAACGTACATTTATATATATTTTTTACAACATAAAACCTATTAATTATCAGGTACAACTACCTATTAATAATATTAGTAGGTACGATATTCACAATAAAATTATTTTTCTGATATCAAGTATAGTCAAAATGTATCGGTTTTAAAGGCATATTTTAAGAGCATATTTAAGTGATTGCGTATATTTTAAGGGGATATTTAGTGATTTTTTGGAGCATAAATAAATGTATATTTTAAGATTTTTAAGGGCATGAAGTCACGGGCCCTTTTAATAACTAAGAATTATTTATAATATGAACTTATAGTAATATTTGTACTATAGATTTATATTATATTTATTTATATTTTTATAGATTTATAAAAAAAGGTTGAAATTTGTTTATCAAGTATTGACAAGGAAAATCATAATAAGATAACGAGTTTTATTTATATCATGAATATTCTTTGGATGATTGTAATGATGTGTAGTCAACAATGTCCAATAAAATAATAATTATCTACCCGTGAAGATTAGATCTCTTAATGTCTAGTCGGCGCGCAAAGTCCATCACTAATAATGAGATGACTTTAATAATATTATATAAGCATTAATACATTATTATTGTTAGTAGGTACTAACAATATTTATGAATTATGTTAAAAATTAATATATAATATCTACATAATACACTTTATAATATAGTCTTCTAGTCACTTACGTATACATATTTATTGGGATTGTTTAACAAAGATATTAATATATATATATATATTAATAATTATGTACTTAATAATATCTATATACAATTAACAAACTTATTCCCAAACTGAATACCTAATTTAAAGCTCTTAATATTTTTTGATATTTATAAGATCGCAATTTAAAACTTCAACACCAAAGTCCAAAAGCAATGGTAAATCATATAGGTACTAAGATTATATACAAATATTGATATAGAGGCTATTTACAGCAACATAACATGAATTAAATTTAAATAATTTCTTTAAAATATTACCTGGCATAACCAACATTGATGTTGCATCAATAACTCTTGTACCTCCCGGTATAATTAGATTGCAACCAACCATTCTAATATAATAAAAAAAAAATTATTATTATTACTTTCAACTAAAATGAACAAACATTAGGTACCTATAAGTAAAGCACAATTATTTTAAAATTTCGCAAAATATTTTTGAGTAGTTTCCGAATACATAGATAGTAAGGTTGGTACAAAAATATTTCACAGAGACATTTTAAGTAATACATTTTTTATATTATTATGTTTTTACAATTTTATCTGACTTTTTTACGATTTTAAGGACGTATAGTTTGACTATATTTTAGAGTTCCTGACACTGTTTATTTCATGTATTATATAGTTTATCTTTAATCATTCCGGTCGTAAAATATCAAATCGTAAACATTTACACAATTACACCGTAGTTTTTTAACCATACTATTTTTGTTTTATTTCGTGATCACTGATGCGATTTTTGTGTCAGTAAAATGGATCTACGTATTAAATTCGATAATTCAAGACGACCGCGATATGCATAGGTACACGCTTTCATTAAAACGTAAAATATTTTTTTTAATTTGTCAATTAGATTCAACACGTCTGTATGGTCTAGATTTTTTTTTTGTTTAATGTTTACTTAAAATCGCTACAAAATCATTAAACGTTTTTATTAGCCATTTTACTAGTTTTTGTTTAATTATCAGTAAACGTTAAATAGGAACGTAAAATAAAAAAAAAATACATTTTATAAATAGATATAATAATTAGGTAATAAGCTAGTGATTGCCATCCATTAAACTAGTTTATACTCAATAAAATAAATAATTGATTCCGATTTTTAGATCATTTTATTTCTTTTAATTAAATTTAATCAATCTATTACAGAAAAGCAAGAAGTGAAATTTTGTTTTATTCTAGTAATAACAATATATTATGAAGGATCTTGTGATAAACAAAAATATTTAAAAAAATTAAAATAATTTAAAAAATAATCTTAAAATGTTCGTGATTTTGTTGAATGTTGTTAAAATTTGAAATTCTAAATAAAAAAAAATGTGACTGTAATATTCGATTAATTTAAATTGTTATAAGAATAACTTATATGAGGAACATTATATCAAACTGTCGTGATTTTTACTCACAAATACTATATTTTATCAATGTATAGATGGTAATATTATAATGTATAAACATTAAACAGCTCACAACATTTAAAATATTTAAAAATGTATCATGGCTTGACAATTCTAATATAAATATTTCAATATTTGGTGCAAATGTCCTGCAGTTCCTGCCGTCTCTTAAGTTATTAATTTTTAAATTACAATAAAAAACTAAGTGCCTATACATATTTTTGTCAAAAACTGACTTTACGTAAATATTCTCGTTTTTCGGTTATTAATTTTTTGCTTTTTCAGATTATTTTAAAAATTAGGTACAACGAATATTTTACTTTACTCCTTCCTTTTTCCAATGCTACACAAGATCCAATTTCAGATCAAAATCCACAGTCAAAATAAAAAAAAAAAAAGGTGCATAAGTGGATGTCGCTCTGCTGTACTGTAAGTTACAAGTGGGTTACCGTATAAAGGATGGTAATAAATTTGAATTAAATTATATAATAGCATTGTATACGAAAAACGATTCTGAGTTACACCAAAAACCAAAGTTTGCGTAATTTTTATTTCGTTTTTCCCTGCGTTTTTTAAAACTATAGACATTTTAAAATTCTGACCTCCCGAATGCAACATCTAGATTCACTTTTCCATCGAACAAGATACTGTTAAAGAAAATCGAAGCAGTTTTACTACCACAAACGGCGATGAGTGATGACAGACGCACAAAAAAAAATAACTAAATAAATGATTTAAAAAAAAAATATTTCATTGTAAAATCGATACATTTATCGCTCTACTTAAAATGTAATCATTTTTACTAGTCCTAAAGATGACGTTGAAATCTAAAAAAAGAAATGTAATTTAACTGTCATTACTAATTATACATATACGAATGCTATTTTTTTTTTTAAGTTAGTGCTTCGACATCTAAGGTCATTAGTTTGATAGCCTGAATGTTATTTTTAATGTGTTTTTTACCATGGGGAGGGGAACGGTTTGGAATTCGTGTATATGTGGCGAGGATGTCACTAAAAACCCGGGTGGTGGTCACCCATCCGGGAGCTATAGACAACAGCCAATGCTTGACCTCAGAACACGTTAGTGACTGAGGCCAACCAGGCCACACGTATGCTATTATTTGGGATAATAGTCAAATAGATTGTATCCAATTTAAAAAATAGCGGATATCCTTTGAACATTAGATAGGTAGGTCAATGCAGTGACAGATTGATCACAGTGGAAGGGTTCTATCAAATAAAAGAAATTATTATTACCGGGGCTAGGATTTATACGCTATGTCACAATATAAAATGGTAAAATTTGCATTTTATTTTGTTAGAATATGTTAAAATATATAATAGAATATCGGTACAATGAATACACCCATAATTTGCAAACTATTTATTTATTATTCTTTATTTTTGAAAGAAATCGAATAGGATCTCATAATTTAAAAAAAAAATGAATAATGTAATTTTTATTTTCCTAAGCTAAGCTAAATTTTTATTTATGTTACTTATTAGTTTTACTTCTAAAATATAAGTTCATGCCTTTTTTACTCAATTTTTACAATTTTGTCAAAGACAAAATCGCTGATTTCATGAAATTAAAATAAGGAAAGTATAAAGTGACGCGGTTATAGCAATAGGTATCTATATAGCATTAAAATTTATAACCCTCTTACTAAAGTTATAGGTACACTAATTTTCATGAAAAATACCATAAACCATGAATAGTTTATGTTTATAGTAAGTTATTAAGTTAAAATACGTAATAATAGATATGCCTTTTTTTTTTTTATTGAAGTAAAAAGACAATCTACAATCTATACAAAAATATACACAATAATTAGATGAGATAGAAGAGTACTAAAACAAACAACAATGAATATAATGATTTTGGGGAATTACCCAGTGGTAACACCCAGCAGATATGCCTTAGGCATATATTTTATACTTTAACTATGACAAAATATACAGAATAAAAAAGGTGGGTAAGTGGGTACGTTAAGTGTTGTGCGGATCACTAACTGTAATATATGTGTTAAATTTTAATTCAATGATAAAAAATCAACGATACGAAAAACGACTTTGAGTGACGATAGGCCGTTGCCTATATTAATAATAAAATAAATTTTATGATATTAAAGTAATTTATATTACTATTAATGACATAGTAGGTTGAATTAATTTTATCCGATCTTTGTATTTAAAAATGTCATTGTGAGTATAAAATATAATAATTAATAATATACTTTAAAAGTTTCAAGCACCTACGAATTTTTATTTTAAATTACAACAATAAAACAAAAATTGTTATTCTGTTTAAATATAAAATTTAGTCCAAATCTAAAAAAAATATTGTATTTATGTCTTTTTTTTAGATTTTTTGATTGCTGTATGAATTGTCTATGAGGAAACTTGTCTAATATAATAAATTTAATACATTTTAAACTACAAAATAATTTGAACACTTTTTTGATGAATTTTGTCAAAATTTGTACTTTAAATAATAAGTTTTTACGTATATATGTTACAATTTAGGCAGCTTAGTCGTAAGTATAAAGACAATTTTGCGCATTCTAACTACAAAGGTTCCGCGGCAGTATTGAAGGAGTAAGTTACACGTGCAGTCCATATCTTTATAGGTTTATGTGCGGCATACGTGAACAAAATAGTTACTACTTTACTAGACTTGTTTGTCTGCACTCTGAGCATGTATTAAAACATATCTTTATTATTTAATTTTAAATGCCTAAATAGTAAATAGGTACCTACACTAAAAATAAAACCCATATTTTCTTAAATTATTGAGATCCGTTCACAGTAAATTTAAAAACAAGTCCATATGAACATATTATAATATAATATCTATATCGCTATATCATTTACCACCAGTCGAACTTATGGACTGAGAGTCCAGTGTTGTCTGAGACTATTTATGTGCCTCCTAAAACATGCGTCTGCCCCGTGAGCACGCCAATGAAAGTGTTTTAATTTGGCGAAAAATTATTTATCGACAATAGTTAAAAAAATAACTAAAAGAAAATTTCTTATGCCTATATAATTATTGCTCAAAAAGAGGCAAAATATTTTGAAAATTGTATAATGACGTATAGACATTTGGTACATATTATATCCATTTAAAGTATCTACGGATATTCGTTTTTGATCTACAACAAAATAATTTACTGATGAATGTCCAAATTTGGTAAAAATGTGATCAATAACACTCCTCAAAAATGTAAGTGACTTTCCAATAAACTTTTTATTTTGATTAAGGTAGAACAACTTATACATACTTAATGACGCCATCTTCAATATAAACATCGCTGTCTACCATTTTGTCTGCATTAACAATTTTTCCATTTTTGATCAAAATACGGTTTTGAGAGCTCTAAAACAAAATTAAATGTTAATTACATAAATATTAAGTACCTACTAACCAATATCTGCAATTAAGAGTAAGTAACACAGGTATTTTTTGTCTTCGTCTTACAAGTGCGTATGCAATTAGAAAATTCACGCTCAGCAGATCACGTTTAGCTTCGTTAGTTTAAAAATTAGGGTGAATCGACCTATTATTAAACTTGTTTGTAAGAACTTATCTGTCTTTGCAAAAAGGGTTTTTACAATAATTCAGTTTTCAAGTGAGTTATAAGTAATTTTAATTTACACTATACTATACACACAAAATTTGCTAAAAAATTCAACTATGTGTACCTATAGTCAAATAATCCACCTACAAACTCAAATAATATTCTTCCATAAACTTTAATAATAGGCCTATTTATTCTAGTTTTTAAACTAACAATGGCAAACGTGATCTAATTAGAGTCATTTTTTTAATTTTTTGTACTTGTAAGACGGAGACAACAAATGGCCGAGTAATGTGTTACGTTCTCTTAAGAGGAGAACGTCACACCCGAATTAGTGTTGTCTCCATCCTCCAAATATTAAACATAAGAAAAGCAGTTTTGCGCGGGACAACTTTACTCTCTCTGTAGTCTGTATTTATAGTAGAATTACCAAAATTTCACAACGTATAGAGAAGAACTTTATATAATATGTTGTAGATTTATCATTTTTTTTTTTAATAGCACTAACCAATATTTTTTAATAATTCAATGAAAAAACTTAATGCTGTCAAACTGATAACTTTAAATGTATTTATGTTATCCAAATAACAACACAGATAAAGTTCTTCCCTGTGTGTTGGGAAATTTTGGTAATTCTACTATAAATACGGAGGGAGTAAGGTTGTCCCGAGCAAAACATACCAAAACTAACGTTCAGTAATGAGCTCGTTATTCGTTAATGAGTGATTACAAATGTTATATGTCAATATGCATTATGCTCACACATCATTGTAACAAGCTTACATACTTAATTAAATGTAACAGACTAATAAATTACTGCCAGATTATCGCACGTAAAAAACGTGCTCATTCGATAAATCGCGTATGCTTATCGCTTATGGGTTTATCGCCGACAAAGGGACGATCCGTATTATACAATCACGTATTTGTAACGGAAAAGGCTTGGAAATATGCTTCCAGACAAAAGGATGACCGAAAAAAGTCTTAAACGCCGAACACTGCTACTTGTGCTAGCAAAAAACCTTTGGTAAAGCTGCCTCCTGGTCAGCATAACCGTATCCGAGGTGTAGTCCTTTTGCACGCGCACCACCCATCTCAGCAACAACCTCTCAACACAGAATCTTGCGCACGACAAATGGACTTATTTTAACGAGCAATAATCAGCAAGGGCGCCCACCTGGGAATTTTAACTGCATGTAGGTACTTTAATATAAATATCACTTCAACTAATATTAGATTATAAGTAGGTAATATTTTTATCTTTCCCTGAGTGGAATTTTATCCTGAGGACGCGCTTGGTAATCAGTGTGTTTTAATATTTCGTTTCACATATTTTGAGGAATTACTTTGTGTCTTAATACTACTTTAACATAATTTATAGGTAGCTGTGGCCTATGAGCCAGCTAGCCAGGTAATACACATAATAATATATAAGTTACATTTACACAAAATTAAAATTGTATGGTATAATTATACTTAAAAATACGTTGTATTTTATCAAATTCTAGAATATATGATACCGAGACCACTCATATGTAAAAAAAACTCGACTATTTCAAATATTTATAAATAGTTAAAAAAAAAAACAAAATATTTAGAATATTACACATTTTTGTATAATATAAAAAAACAAAATCAAATTTGTCAAAAACTAGTGAATATTCCAGGTTTCAGTAATTTCGAGGTAATTTTTCATGATTTTTTTTTTAAAAGTATTGGAATTGTTTTACTTTTGACCCCCTCCCAATAAATTCAATTAGATATCAAAAACCACCCTCAAAGTTGAACATTAATTCTTTTTTTAAAGTTTATAAAGTTGACAGCCACATAAAAATGCAATCCATTAAATGTTACTTAACCCAAACAAAATAAAAAAATTAATGTAAATTGACAGAACATATTTTTTTATGAAGGTATTGCAAAATACAAACATTTAAATATTCATTTTTTTAGTTTGTTTGGTAATTGTATAGAATACTTATCAGTAGTTATTGAATTATAGCTAAACATTTTGGAGATCAATCATTTGAATAGGTACCTACCTACATTTTAAATCTATAAATCGTGAAATTGTTGTAAATTTAAGATATTTGAGTATAATAATATAGGAATTTTTAAATTATTAAATAATATTATAAAAATGTTTATATTAAATTATTTAGTATATTATACTAATTCTATTAAATAGTATGTACTGAAGGTCGAATAAAATAATAATGTATTATTTGTATTATTACAGTAGCTACATTGAAGTAGGTACTTTTATTATATCACACACAGTATAGTGTTAATTTATTTAACATAAAATAACATGGTCCAGTGAGAAATTACTATGTAGTTATTAAAAATATACATTTTTACTCAGAAAAATAATTAATTAATTTCATAACTATAATAATATGTACATCAAGTATTAAAACATGTATAGGTACCACATAGACAATGTACATAAAATAAAAAGTAACATATTATAATTACCTGTAAATGAATAGGAACTTTTTTCACAGGATTCGATTGGTTGGCCATATTTTAATCTGAAAAAATTAAAATATGTGAACAAAAACATTTTACTACCATTTCATAGTTTTACACGCACAGGAAGTGTTGAGAATAATTTGTATACATATCAGGGGGATTATTTACACTTGTTATTAAAGCGGAAGATATGTTATTAGATGTCTTCATTATTATGATAATTCATAATAAATAAATTATATTCCCACCAAGATTGAGGAAAATTATGTTTATGTACCTAAAGGTACATATATGATAATGATATACTAGAACTAGATGCCACATATTGCTAACTAGTGCCTAGTTTAATAGCTTAAAATAATCACTGATGTCTTTATAATAATTTATAAGTCAGTTAAGATTGTTAACATAGATAGTATAAAATATTTTCAAAAAGAATTGATTTTAGGTAGGTATATTATATTAAATATTGATCAACCAAAATGTATCAATTAATAATTTCAAAATGCATGAATTGTATAATAAAACAAATCTTATTTTGCTGATATTTTAGATTTTGCAGAACGCTCCGATGAATATATTTGTATTACAATGTCATGATGTAGGTATGTTTTTTAATCTTCATATTTGAAGGTGGTTTTTTTTAGTAAATAGGATCTAGTTGGAACTTAGGGAAGTCAAATGCAGGAAATACTACTACTTTTTATTAATAATAAGGAAAAAATAACAAAAATATTTCAACACATCCATTATAGTGACCTACTTCAGGTTAATTTGAAACCGGCTAAACAGCAGAGCTTATAACTTAAATTATAAATTAGGTATAATAAAAAAGTTTGGAATCACTATGTTTGTGTTAATATTTTGCATGCATAAATTATCATTTTATTTTTATTACTGTATAATCTTAATCTTATTTGTAAGCATTTTTGAAACACTTACTTTTTATGAATAAATAAGTATTTTAATAGCAATAAAAATCAATAAACTAATAAAATGTTTTATGTTTGCAAAACACAGCCAAGGCCAGATGAGACATTAGCTACATTGAATATAGCTACACTGTCAAAAGTAACTAATATTCAAGCTTTTGACTAGATGCCTATTGTACTATTACATAGGTTAGGTTATAGGTAGTTGTACCTATTGTACAAAACTAATAATTTGAATACTACCTTCTAAATTCATTAACATATTATGTTAACAAAAGAAATTCATAAGTTGTGTCTAACCTGAACATTAAAAAAAAAAAAAAAAATTATATAGGCAAAACTACTTCCTGGGCACCTCTTCGGCAAACAAATGTATTTTTTTAACAATGGTGAAATCTGAATTTTACAGCAACTTTAAATTTTAATGTTTATTATATTTTTATTTTTTAATTCTTAGCTGAAAAGGTATTTTTAAATATTGTCAGGACTTTATAGTTAGGTATTCTATATCTACTATCTCCTTATAGGTATAACATATAAAATACTTAAAAGTTAAAACACAACTAAAATATTGATACTTGGCTGTAGCTAAGTACCACTTCATATTTTTTGAATACTATTGACAAATTTAGATAGAACTAATTATGTATTACCAGGACTACCTACATCGATCAAGGATTTACCGGACTAATTGTACATATTATGTAATGTTTGGACTACCGCTATTTTTACATATTTTTATTTATTAATAAAATAATATAAAATATTAAGATGTATTATTATTGTCTATTATTACATTCCATAATTCAAATAGGTACCTTTTTTTTTTTTTTTATTGAACAAACATAATATATTTACAATCTGTATTTACATGTGATACAATAAGTAAATGTGATGCCGATTTGGTTTACAGGAGGGGGAAGTCACCCAGTGGCGGCACCCCGTGAGTTCAAATACCTACCTACATAACATAAAATATAATATTTTAAGGAGGAAAATATTTTTAATATCTCTTAAAATAGTTTCAAATTAGTTCATTGATGGGATTTTATTGTCACATAAATTATGCAAATATGAATTAAGGTGGTGTTGTCCAGTCCCTCTATGGACTTTGTTGTGCCACCTTACTGATCCCTATAATCTTTCCACATTTTGCATGTGGTTTATAATATGGCTTCATTATTTTTTGAACATACTCTAACAAGTGGCAAAACTCCTCTCTTCTAAAGTATTTATACTAATTATGGTTCATTTTATAGCAATAACAAAATTTATATTGAAAATGAATGTTGCACATTACGGACGCTAAGAAAACAGCAAACAAACTATGTATAGGTACTGCATACTTTAAGTACTTTTGTCAACATATCACAAATTATTATTAAGGACAATATATATTAATAGACATTTGTGTTATTAGATAATTTGCAATAAATTATATCCTATAACCTAAACTACCCATATTTTTACTCATAGTTACATGTATAATATTAGACGTTATGGTTTCAGATTTAAAAGCAATATATTCAATAAAAAAAGCATTTAAAATGTCAAAAAAGGCAAAAAAAGCAATTACAAAAAAAATTTAATAATTTGTATATTGTATATTTAACTACTGTTTGTTAAAAAAAATCACTACCATATATTTAGATAAAATGTCTTCAGTGAAACGTTGACGGTTTGGGCTTAAATTATTTTTGAACATAGAAAATTATCTTTCTACGTCCATGGAAGTTACTAGATAGTAACAGTAGACTGACAAACAATTTTGAATCTAGAATATATACGCACTATGAACATATTTTAATAATATATAGATAGGTAGTATGGGAACTTTTATAAACGTTAAATTAACTGGCCATACCAAATACTCGATAAATATCGCCGATAATAAAACCCATTAAAAATAATCAACTTAAATGACAATGCAAAGTCTTCAGAAAATCTTATCGATTTGTACCGCTAATATGTATGTAGTGTATAAATCTATTAAATTAAACAGGCATTTTTTAAGTGAAAAGGGCAAAAAGAAATTTATAAATAAAAAGGCAAAAAAATAGGTTTAAACCAAACATAATATTAAATAACATACATTTTTATATAAAAATTATTTCTCTGTTATTATTAAAAAAAAAAGGCTTTTGCCTTCAAATCCAAACCTTAGTTATTACTATATTTTAGATGGGTAACCTTGTATACAATAATATTATACATTATTTTATAAGTAAATTAATAATTATTATATAAAAATATGTATAAATAGAGGTAGATAGTCCAAAAGTACACGTATATAATATAATATATTTGGGTAAATTATCAATCGATCCAGGTATTCCAGATAACATAATATAAGTACTTACAAAACTATTAAAATATGTGGACGATGGATACATAGGTTAACTGTTAACACACTATTAATTTTTATTAAACCATGACGTATGTACAATCATTTGCAATCATTTACTGACACCTATTGCCTATTATTACTATTTTTTAAATTTATAATATGAATATTTTAATTATACTTTTGTATTTATTCTCCGGCAATCTATAGTAGCAATATAGACGACAATAATTAAGAATCAATAGGTTATCTCAAGCAGTACACTGCACATCCATATCATGTGGCATGTTCATATAAAGTTATTGGCAAGAGGACAAAAAATAAAAATGTACCTATATTTTATAGTGGCAGTGTGGCACGAAATAACACAACCCTAATTGAATGGCAATTTGTTAAGAGGGGCCCATGTAGATTTTCAACTACTTTTCAGGAGGGACAAAAAACAGTTTTCCTTTATTTCTATTTGCGTAATAAGTACATAGGTAGTAGGTACCTTTTAACAAACTGAAATATTTCATGATAATTTTGCACAGACAAGATGATACGAAATAGGTATTTTTAACACAAAACGATGTGTTTACATAAGAGGATGAATAATATATAAGAAAACTATTTTTGTCATAAATGTAACTTGGGTCCATTTTAACAAATTGTCATTCAATTATGTTAATTTTATTTGCATGCACTTATTTAAAATTACGTTTTTTGTTTTTTTATTATCCTTGACTGTGTCTTATTTACTTGCAAGAAACCAAAATTCAGTTGAATAAAATATTAAATGTTGATCTACTTGATCTCGATTATTTATGGGGAGTAGGATGTCGAACGACTACCCTACCGCCCCTAACAATAATAGACACGCCTACATCGGGTAAAAAATTTAAACGACCTTTTTAGTTTTTAATATTATTTATTTCTTATATGTAGGTTATAGGAAACCTTCAACATGTTGGATTAAAATAACAATTATTGGTAAATTAAAAAAAACTCACCAGAGATAAAATTATACTCAGACTATCGATGTGTAAATTGATTAATAATAAATAGTCGAATCGAAAAATCGAGCAGAAGGGAATACCTATATTGTTATGTTCTAAAAACGACCGATCGGTGGGCAGTTTAATATAATGTATAATAACAGGAACCGATAATAATATGAATATCACGTATTAATACTACAATAATATTAATGCTGTTTGTGCGGTGCGACGGTAACGAAACACGACCTACCTGAGACGTACGCGATCAATTACTACCTCGGTTTCAGTATTCAGTGCTCGGGTTTTAGCCGCCGTTGATAAGCCGCGACGGATATCAGTGGAACATGCTCTCCGCGGAAGCGCTGCGTGTGTGTTTCGCAGTCGTATGTGTGTGTGTGTAAGTGTGTGCGCGTGTTGATGTGTGTGTGTGTGTACGCGTGTGTGTGAGTGCGTGTGTGTGTGTGCGCGCATGTGTGTGCGTGTGTGTGAGCGCCCGTCCTACTTGTTACAATCATCGATTTAAACGCGACGGCGAGCGACGCGGCGGCCTGGTGAGTCGAGAGCGGCAGATGCCGCTCGCCGCTCGGAACGCGGCTGTTGCTCCGCGGGTTCGAAAAATAAAATCCGTCCCCCTTTTGTATTGCGAATTCGCGCAGTGTAAGGAATATACGCAATTAATTTTCACTGCATAAGTGTAAAATATATTGAGTTACCTACTGGCTACTGCTACCGATGTATCATATTATTGTCATATTGTATCATATTGTGTGTGCATATTATAAAACAGTCAATAAC